CGAGCTGTGCCAGGTGCAGGGTCTGCTAGCTGGGTGCTGGCAGGCTTGCACCTGGCACGGGCACCGTAGCCAGCCCGTGCCCTTTTAAGGGGTCTGGGGCCGGGAGGGGGGCAATAGAGTTTCCCTGGTGTTGGCCAGAGTGGCCACCAGGGAAACCTGGGGAGGGCTAGCCTCCCACTAGTTCGAATTAAGGGGCTACACACCCCTTAATTCGAACTAGTAAGTTCGAACTAGGCTTAATCCTCGTAAAATGAGGTTTTCCTAGTTCGAACTAAGCGCTCTGCTAGTTTGATTCAAATTCGAACTAGCGGAGTGCTAGTGTAGCGCCTATGAATGTTAGTTCGAACTAACATTGTAGTGTAGACATACCCTCACAGTGGTCTCCAACTTTAAGCACAAAATTACTTTTTTAATTTAAATGCAATCCAAGATCTACCTGAAATATAAATAGCCTTGCCCCACCTCCTTCCTGCCCTTTCTCTGAAGGCCCGCCCCTGCTTACTCCATCCTTCCTCCTTTTCACCAGGCTGGGGCAGAGGGTTGGGGTGCAGGCTCTGGTCTTGGATTAAGGAATTTGGAGTGTGAAGGGCTCTGAGCTGAGCCTGGGGCAGGCAGTTGGGAGGTAGGAGGGGTTCTAGATGCAGGCTCTGGGAGGGTGTTTGGATGTAGGGTTGCTCGGGGCTGAGGCAGGAGCTTGGAGTGCAGGAGGGGGTTCGTGACTAGGGTAGGGTTTCAGGATGTGGGCTCCAGCTGGGCACTGATTATCTCAGGTGGCTCCTGGGGCATGGTGCAATGGGGCTAAGGCAGGATCACTCCTGCCCTGGCCCTGCACCACTCCCTAAGGCAGCCAGCAAACTCCATCCCAAGTCCTGTTGTGCCCCCTCTCTGCTTTGTGGAAAAAGGATATAGAGTGGGAGGGGGCACCTTGTCATCAGTATCTCTCCTCAGCCTCCCCCGCCCTGCACAGAAAGCAGGAGGCTCCTGAGGGGACAGCTCCAAGGCAAAGGGCAGGAGATGTACAGCAGTAAAGGGAGGGACAGCTGAAGTGCTGGCACTTGATAGCCTATTGGCCAAACCAGTCAGGATCACCTGTCAGAGGCTCCAAGGTCTACCTGTGGGTCCCAATCTATTAGTTGGTGACCACTGCTGTATTGGATTTCACTGCCTACATCTTCATTGCTATTCTTTTTTTAAATAAGAGACAGATTAAACAAATGCCTTCACAAACCACATATAAGAGGAAACAGTCCCATTAGATGGTATTGGTTTAACAGACTGAACATGAAATGATTTATTTACTCGGGCAAAAGATCCAGGGTAAAATTATTAAGAGTACCCAAGAAATCTAGGTGCTGAAGTTACATTGGTTGTTAATGAGACTTCAGCTCTTACATGCCCAAGGGGTT